AGACCTAGTGGCTGGCTTTCTCTCACTCTCTTTCTCTCTCTCTTGCTCTCGCTCTGTCCCTCTCTGGTCAAATTAAAATAAAAATAAATTTAAAAAATTCTTTTTCTTTCTTCCTCTTTGTTTGTTTCTTTCTTTCACTATAGGGTGTGTGCACTCTACAGAGAGACAGAGAGACAGAAAGAGAGAAATCACCCCCCCAAGGGATTGCCATGCTGCAATCCCTTCTCCTCCATTCTCCTCTCAGGATCTTGGGCACGTACGCTCATGTGCCCAGTGTGAGTTTAAGTCACCAGGTCCGGGACTTGAACTGCGGTCGACTACATGGGAGTCCAGCAACATAGCCATTACACCAACTTCTGGTCCCATAAATAAAATAATTCTTAAAAAAAAAAAAAAGATACTTGGATGAGAGAAATAATTATACAAATGTTTTAGAAAAGTAACTCTAGCTCAGTATGTCAGTATGGGAAAGGGTTTTCAAAGAGGGCAAAATGGAAGGAAAGATGACCTGTTAGGGATCTGCTTTAGTAACCCAGGCATGAGATGTTAATGATAGCCTAAAAAATAGTATCAATGAGGCCAGCAGGTGGCATGGCAGTTAAGGTGCTGAACTCACATGGCTGACCATGGTTCAAGTACCAGGACCTGGTGGCTTGAAAAGCATGCATGCCCAAAATCCTTAAAGGAGAAGAAGGGATTGTGGCATGGAAATCCACCCAAGGAATGATTTCTCACTTTCCTTCTCTTTGACTGTCTGTGTCTGTCTGTCTCTCCCTTTCTCTCTTTCTCTCTCTCTCTCTCTGTCTCTCTCTCTGGTGAGCACACATGCCCTATGGTTAAAAAAATAAAAAAGAAAAGAAAGAATATTATCAGAAGAAATGAAAAGGAATAACCTGATATGAGATTTATTTAATTAAGAAAAATGAACAGGAGGGACCAGCAGATGGCATAATAGTTACATTGCTGGGCTCCCATGTAGTCAACTGCAATTCAAGTCCCAGACCCAGAGGCTTAAACTCACATCAGGCACATATGGGTGTATGCCCAAAATGCCAAGAGAAGAATGGAGGAGAATGGATTGTGGCATGGCCATCCTCTCTGTGGGGTGATTTCTTGCTTTCTGTCTCTCTGGCTCTTTCTCATATTCTCTATAGCAAAATCGGAAAGGAGAGGAAAGGAGAGGAAAGGAGAGGAAAGGAGAGGAGAGGAGAGGAAAGGAAAGGAGAGGAGAGGAGAGGAAAGAAAAAAGAAAAGAGAGGAGAGGAGAGGAGAGGAGAGGAGAGGAGAGGAGAGGAGAGGAGAGGAGAGGAGAGGAGAGGAGAGGAGAGGAGAGGAGAGGAGAGGAGAGGAGAGGAGAGGAGAGGAGAGGAGAGGAGAGGAGAGGAGAGGAGAGGAGAGGAGAGGAGAGGAGAGGAGAGGAGAGGAGAGGAGAGGAGAAGAGAAGAGAAGAAAGAGGAACAGAAGTTGATCATTGACAAGATTCAGAAAAGAAAGAAAAAGAAAGAAGTTGAAGGTAATCTCAGTTTGTTACTGGGACAACTAAATGGATGGGGACTCACAGGAAGAGATGGAGAGACGCAGTCCAGTTACCAATGGACAGATCTGTGACACAACAAAGGGGAGCAGACAGAGACTGAAGCTCAGGGACAATCTGGGCTTAAGAATGATACAGCAGTCATTAACAAAGAGGGAAACATTTTAAAAATACAAAAGAAAACAATGACACACACTTTTTATCTGTTAGAATAATAAGCTACAATTTAATTTTAATATCCATTATTAGTGAGAGAGTGGAAAAGTTAGTATTCTCACAACTAAGAAAAAAGGAACTTTTCTGAATTATATTTAGCAGGTCTAAATAATAAAAAATTAAAAAAATGTGTAACTCACCCCCACTCCTAATGACTGCTCAACCTCCTACAATTTTCCACATTTTTAATATCAGAGTACTTATCTTCTAATATTTTATCTATTTATCTACTATACTTACTGTTTTACTGTCTCCTCCATCTAGAATGTAAGTTCAATAAAGGACAAGATCTTAATCCATTTTGTTGACGCATATAACTAGGACAATGTATTTGAATGAATGAATAAATACATGAAAGAACAAACAAGCGATTTTTAAAAAGCTGGAAGGTATTATTTTCATCTACCTGATTAGTAATGATTTAAGAAGACAAAGAACACTTAGAATTCATAGGGATATATCAAAAAATGACACTCTCATACTTTAGTGGTAAATAAGTAAATCGGTATGACTTTTCTGGAAAACAATTTAACCACCAGAGTCAGGGTTTACGGGTATGTATCCTTTGACACAGCTACTACATTCTCAAAATTTACCTTAAGATCTGAATCAGGTGGCAAAGATACATACATAAAAAATGTCTATCACAGCACTGCTTATAAAGGAGAAAAACTGAAAACTTCAAATTTTATGAATAAATTTCTTTAAATTATGAAACATTCAAAAAGTTCAATACTATGCAGCTATCTTAAAAGAATGATATTA